AGGTCATGATCTCACAGTTCGTGAGTTCGAGCCCCATATTGGGCCCTGTGCTGACGGCACGGAGCCTGCTTGGGATTCTGTCTCTCCTTCTCTCTGCCCCTCCCCCCACTTGTACATTTTCTGTCTCTCTCAAAATAAATTAATTAATTAAAAAAAGAGACAAAAAAAAAAAAAAAGAAGTTGGCAAGAGATTCATGCAAGAGAGGTCAGCAAGGGCCAGGTGCTTCGGGCCCTTGTTGGCCATGTCACAAACTGCTAACCTGATCCACACAGCAAAGAGAAAACATCCGAGGGGTTGTTGGGGAGGTGGCTGGTGGCACGGTGAGACCCAAGTTTTAGAAGGGTCATCCCGTGGTGTGGAGCAGGCCACGGGGCTATGGGTCCTTCTCCGGCATGAGTATGCCTTGGAAGGGGGGGCTGAAGTTGCCCCAGTCCTGTCTATCGAGCTGTCCTTTTCTCTTCTGCTCATAGGACCATGGCTCCTACACCCACTGGGGCTCTGAGAAGCTTCCCATCTCCTGAGCTGCTCCTTCTCAGTCGTCTTACCAGGCTCCCTTCCTCCACCAGACTTCGAAATTCTGGCACTCCTCAGGGCTGTCCTGGACCTACTTTCTCCCTTTCATGCCAGATGAGGCCCCACATGCCCGTGGCTTCATCCGTGGTCTACTTACCAATGACTTCCAAATACCAAGTTTTTCCTTAAACTGAGCTGCAAAGGCCCTTGATAAATGTGGACCAGATGAACAAATGAATGAATGAATGAATGCACGCATGAGAAAACCTGGGCTCAGCTCTGTCACCCACCACCCACGTGACACTGGCCAAGTGGATTATCCAGTTTGGGCTCATTTCCTCTTCTACAGTGCCTTCCAGCCTCCCACCAGGGCTACTATAAGAAAGAGGGAAACTGCCTTTCTCTTCCTTTCTTCGTAAACCTCTGTGCCCTTCGTACCTCACCTCGTAACTGCACAGGGAACACGGCAACATCCAACAGAAGGTCCCGATGCCCACCTATCACACAGACGCTGTGCCTTCTCTCTTCAGGAGCTCTGAACCCGCACCAGCCTTCTCCTCAGGAGACTGGCTCCTGTAAGCCTCAAAGGCTCCCTCCCTCCTCAAGTCCACCCTGCTGCGTTCACGCCGGGCGTAGGAAGTGTGCATGCAGGGTGGGTGGCTTGTGACAATGCAGATTCCCAAGCCCACCCACAGCCCCAGGGAATCAGACTTTCTAGGGGTACGTACTGGGAATCTGGATTTTAAACAAGCTCCCCAAGTGATACTTAACGAACCTTAACATTGGAAAACCTCAGCCTTACTACCTCTCGGGAAAGATGTTTCCTCCCGCAATCCCACACTCCCTCTGGTGACCTCTATTCCTGTGCCTTTATGGAGCCCCACTCCCCCACAGCGCTGCCTCTACTTCCTCTCCGTTCACCCTCATCTGGCACCTGCCTCCAGCAGCAGCCGCACACTGCCAGAGCCATCGGACGCTTTTCTACCCTCGTCTCGCTTGACTTCTCAATCCCGTTGGATAAAGGCGACTACTTTTTCCATCTGGAGACGTTCTTCCACGGGCCCAGTGAAATCGGTCTCCTGGTTTTCCCTCCACCGCTCAAGCTGCTCCTTCCCAGTCTCCTGGCCGGGTCCCCTCCTCTGCCTGGCTTCTGGGTGCTCGGGTTCAGGGGTCTGTTTCTCCTCCCACAGTGGGCCATGCTCTACAGTCTCTTGGCCTCACAGATGACCTCCACACCACCTCCTCTTACACGAGTATCTTGCCAGACAGACTCAAGACCCCGTGTATCCAGCCACCTGCTCCGCATTTCCCCTTGGCTGTCTCACAAGCGCCTGGAGTTTCATGTGTCCCAAACTGAGCTCCTGCCCTTTCCCCAAACCTTCTCTGCCTGATCTTCCCCCTAACTGCTCCAGACAAAACCGGCCTTGAGCCATCCCTTCCCTCGGCTCCTTATGGCCACCGCATCCCCAAATCCTGTGCGTTCTTTCTCCAAACTCAACCTGGGAGCACAGCTGCTCGCTCCACCTGCACAGCATCACCGGGGTCCAAGCCCCATGCTGCATCCCCCGCCCCCCAGTGGTCCAAGCCACTAGAACCTCTGGCCCCGACTCGCGCCCCCTGCTGGCCTCCCAGCCTCCATTCTTGCCCCCTGCGGTCCTCGCAGTGAAGTTAGATTAGGTCATTCCTCTGTTCCCCAAAGCTTCCCTCAAACTTCAGCCAACATTCCACATCCCTAAGACCCCAGATGTGCCCCCTGCCGGCTCCCGCCTCCTCCCCTCTCTCCCCCCTCTCTTCCACACTTCCTGGCGACCACCCTTTCTTTGTGGTCCTGAATGTGCAGTCCTGCTCACCTCAGGGCTTCGGGCCTAGCATTCCCTGTTCTGGAATGTTCTGACCAGCCTCATAGCTTCCTAACTCTTCCTCATCTTTGAACCTCAAGCGAGTATATTCTTACTCGGAAGTCTTCTCCTTCTCTTCTTCCCCACCCCCCTTTTTAATTAGAATGCTGTTTCTTTCTCAGAGCCCCACGCAGCCCTCCTTCATGGCGCCGCTCCCTCACCTCCTTCAGGTCTCCCCCTTGCCTGGCTTTCTCTTCAGCAACGCACATACTACCATCCCACATAGCACGTATTTTACTTGTATATTTTGTTAACTCTCTCACCCCCCCGCCAAATGTAAGCTCCATGAACGTGGATACGGGTACTCGTCTGGTTTGACCCCAGATGATTCCTAGTGTCTAGAACAGTACCTGGTACACAAGAGGCACCATTCACCATTGGTCGAGTGAATGAATAGTGCTCATGTTTCATAATGCTATTTACTTGTGTCATTGTTTAATGGTTGCCAACCTCACTTAACCGTAAGCTCCACAAGGGTGGGGGCCACGGAATTTTGCCTCACGAAGACACCGCCAAGGCCTAGCACCGTGTCTCCTGCCCGGTAAGTCCTCAGCAGAGGTATGTGGGGTGAATAAATGAATGAGAGAGAGAGGAACCGTGACACAGGGTGAAGCAAGTGAATATACTATGTGCACAAGGACAGGGAGGGTACCACCAAAGCCACCCTCTACTCTTGCTCACTGTTCCTGGCTCCAGGACCCTCCTACCTTGTCCTGCTCTTCATAGTCCTTGGTGAAGCAGCTGCTTAGCCTCAGAGAGAGTTCCTGGAGCGTCACAATGACATTGGCATTGGGAGTATTGTCTTTGAAGCGCATGGTGTCCTCCATTATGTCTTGCACTAGGAGAAAGGCCTTCTTAAGGTAGCACACGGGATCTTTCTGAAAAACAAGAAGCTGGAGTTTATGGTCTGGCTGATGTGATCGGGGAACCCAGGCTCTGTGACAGGTGCCCCCATCCCGGGCAGACGGAGGGCTGCGGCCTGCCCTTCGCCCGCCCCCGAGGGGAGGGCCACGCCACCCCAGTAAAAAGGGGGGCGCTGACCTCAGCTGGTCTTTCAGTCTCTTTCATGGGATCTGGAGCTGCCTGGACTTGAGGTAGAGGGAAGGAAATGTGGGTTCTGATTAGAGACATCCTCAGATTTCTGGAAGGTGAGGCTTTCATCAGAATGGGGGTGTGTAGGTAAGGTGGATCCTGGGGAACTACTCTGTCTCTCTTTGGCTTGCTTTCACCAAAAGTCCTTTACTACACGGCTCCTTCAAATCCTCCAGGCCACAGGGGGAACTAGAGACCGCCTGAGGACCCAAAGGATAACTTCCGTGTTTTGTGTCCCTCAGAGAAGGTGGTTGCCTCAACAGACACTCTGCTTCAGCGCCGGATTCCTGGTACCGGTCTCATCATTTCCTAGCCAAGGAAACTCGCCACATTGGTTAAGGCGTGAGTGAGTGAAATACTGAGGTTATTCCTCGGACCATAGGTGGTCTCCAGTTCTAATAGACATGTATATGGGTCAGGTGTGCAGAAGTTCAGAGATGGGAGCAACTCTGGGGCGTATCATGGTGATTTTGCAGGTGCAAAGATGAGCAGGCGTGGAATAAGGGGCAATATGGGGGCAGTTGAAAAGACATCACAGGCACAGGAAGGGCTTGTGCCAAGGCTTGGAGGCAGGAAGGGGCAGGGAACTGGGGCGGTGGGCCCAGACTGTGTGGTGTAAACCCCAAGCTGACCAACCTGGGCTTTCTCCTGGAGTGAGGGGCAGGGGCGAGGGGGTGCTGACAGGTTTGGAGGAGGGAAATGAAGGTAACAGGTCGGAGTTCCGAGAGCTCCCCCTAATGGCGGGAAGATGGGGTGCATTGGAAGCAGGGAGGCTCTTGAAACTGTCCAAGCAACTGATTGGGTGAGGCTCCCGCAGAGCCCAGAGCGGCTGGGAGGCAGAACCGGCAGCACTTGATGGCTGGTTGGGTGTGGGGTAGGAGGAAGAGGGAAAGGGCTGGACTGACTCCCTGGCTGCTGTTCAGTCTGTTGGATGGAAACGACATCCTTAAGCAAAGCATGTGACCCAGAAGTCATCTTGGTTTGCTTTGGCCCTAGAGCCAGCCTGCCTGGGTTCAAAGCAGGCCCCCACCACTTAGTATCTATGCTCCCTGAACCTCCCTGAGGACGATAACCGAGACTGGTATATCACACAGTCGTACTGTCAGGATTAAATTAGAAAGTGTCTGGTGCATAGTAAGGCGTTGATATGTGCCAGGGCCAGGAGAAGGGAGCAGCAGGGGACTTGAGGCCCGGATCCTGCTCGGCCCTGGACCCTGGCACCCCAAACTTGAGCACCAGGGATCCTCACGCCCTCACCGTGCCCAGTTATGGGATTTCTCCTCCCTTCATGTTCCCACATATACCCACCTTGGGAAGCACATATAGGGCTGGCACAGGGGCCTTATAAATAACCATAACTCACCAACTGCTCCTGGTCTACAAACTCAAAGGCAATTTGGCACGAAGTCTCCATCTGACTGTCAATCTGTAAGAGAGAGCAGGCCAGGGGTGGCAGGGCGTCTGCAGCTCAACTGAGCTCACCTAAGAATGAGAACTAGAGTTTTGGGGTGGATCAGGTTTTGGTGCTCATCTACCTCCCCACCAACCATACTGGGAAAGACAGAGGCAAGGGAAAGACTTGTGCCTCCCCCATGCCCAGGGTGGGCTGTAGAAGAACAAGGAGTCTCCTCGTTCCACCCCCACTCCATGAAATCTGACAAATACCAGTTAGTTAGAAGGAAGAACTATCTAACAGAGGGTACAGGGCATAATCTTCCACGACAAGTAGTGAGCTCCCTGTCCTGGCAGGGATTCGAGTCGCGGCTGGACAAGCTCTGGGGATTCAGGATCTACAGGGGCTGGGGCTAGGTGCCCTTAAAGCCCTCGCTGGCCCCCAGAGCAGTGGCTCTGGGAGTGTAAGCCTCAGAGAATGCTATGGCTCTTGTTCTACCTGGATGGATGCAGAAGCTACATGCAGGAGGAAAAGTGTAGAGGTGAGAGAGTCAGGAGGCCCAGCCTACAAGCCCCGAGCTCAGGGCCCTGGAGCTGGTCTTAGCCAGTGGTGCCCCACCCTGTCTGGCTGGCCAGAGGGATGGTAAATTCTCTTCTGAGCAGGACAGCAGCCATGATGGTAACCTGATTCTGCCCGGCTGAACCATGTTTGGAATTGTTGACAACTCTGCCAGCCGGATTAGAATAAGACACGGGTTCCTTCATGGCCTGGGTGAGCAGTCCATCCCAGCCCCAAGGCTCAGGCAAGAGCCAGGAGAGTGAGGGTGGAGGGCTGGGAGCTAGGCAGGAGCCTCCTCTCCAAATCTGACGGTAGCTCTGGTGCCAGGTCGGTGGCATATCTGAGAGGCTGGGAGTTAGAGGCGACACAGCAGGCAGACTGGGATGGCTCCCCAGAGAAAGCATCACACTGAGGGAGAGCAGGCTTCGCAAGCCTTTTCAGAGTCTATGGTTGAAATTCCAGGCAATCGTTAACCCAGGCAACTGGCTGGAAGCCCACCCTGTCCACTGTCTGCAGGGGAGTCAGAGAGGGCTGCAGGCTTGGGGGTGGGTCAGAGACCCTGGCCCCGAGAAGGTCAATGAGAGCTAGGTGGGAGCCATGAATCATGTCCTGTGCAGCCGTATTTCTCTGCCTGCAACCCTTGCCTTTGACCCTGCTCCCTGCCTCAGTTTCCCCAGTGGGGAGAAGGTAGATAGACACGGCCACACACTCACCAGCTGCTGCAGGAACTGCAGGTGTCCGTTCCCAATCATGTGGCTACAGCGCTCTGACACCTCCTCGGTAATACTCCTGCTCACCAGGAGACAGACCAGCAGTAGCAGGTGGCTCAGCCATGTCTGTGGTAGAGAGTGCATCATTACTCCCAGCCCTCACTCTCCCTAGGAACCCCAGTGCCCTGCTGAGAGTGGAGATACAAGGAGCTCACACCTACAATGCTGCAGGCTCTGCCCCTTGCCCAGGATGCAGCGTTGCCAGGAACTTTTTCAGCATTTCCTACGTGGCACGCGCAATCTTGCTCTCCTTGGTAACTACCCAAATGTCACCTCCTCCAAGAAGCCTTCCCAGATTAATCCAAGCCGAGCCTGATTACACACTGACCCTTTAAGGAGGACACGGGAGGTGTTCCTACCAGTCTAAATTTCCGTGACACTGGAAACTCCTTGAATGCAGGGCTTGCATCAGCCCATTGTTGTGTCCCTGCAACTTTAAACACCGAGCCAGACATCTTGTGGGCTGCCCACTCCTCTCAAGCTCATGTTCGAGCACCCACTTGCAGACTTCCAGCCAGACATTTTCCCTAGGCCCAGCCCTTCCTCCCACCTGATTCCACACAGGTCTGGCTCTGCTACTGGAAAAAACCAGGGCCCCGAACTCAGTTTCACTGGGAACCTATCCCACACTGGAGACCTTTTGGAGCCCTGGGTGTGTGTGTGTCAAAAAGGAGCCCGACTGCTTAATCAGAGGTAGCAGTGCCAGTTCTAGGCCATCCCTGGTTGGCACCTGCTTATCAGAGCTCCAGCACGGTCTGCATCCAGCCAGCCAGCTCTCATCATGGCCAGGAAGTTTTCAGAGATCTTTCCCTCCTTCAGCTCCCACCTGGCCCAGGAGCTGCTCACCCCTCGAGTGACGGGACTGGTCCCTGACACCTCATCATTCCCCTTCCTTCCTTTCTCCCTCCTCCTAACCGGGGTCCCCTCAACCCTCCCCCTGGCCCAGGTCTCCCACTCTCTAGCCAGAGGCAGAGGGACTCTTGAACTTTCTTTCCCCAACTCAAGGTTGCCCCTGGCAGCTGATGTCTCCAGATTCAGGGAAACGCTGTCAGGGTGGGGTGAGAGCTGGCACCTTCCTGGGCTCTGGGCTCTGCCTCAGTAATCCAGATGATGAGACAAAGACTGCAAATAAATAGCACATTGGAAAAAACGAGGAGGCCATGAAACAGCCCTCAACAACATGCTGATTTACATATAATTAAAAGCCCAAATGTTTGTTAGCTCCTACCAGGGAACAGAAGCCCTGGCTGGGACTACCAGGGAGGGCGCAGGGAGAAGTGGCCTCTGTGAGGCCATGAAAAATGGGGAGAAGTTGATGGCAGAGAGAGGGAAGGGGAGGCCTGGAGGGAAGAGGCACAGGGTGGCCCAATGCCACTCAGTAAAGGGATCTGGTGAGGGTCCTGGCCTGACCTGGTGGAGGGAGAGTGGAAAAGGGGGAGGACAGTCGACGGGGAGGGCTTCAGGCTCTGTTGGGCAGTTGAAGAGGTAGCCCTGGGTGGGAATGGCTGCCCAGGCCCTCCAGAACCTTTAATTCAGGACCCATTGGAAACTGGGCCAAGCGGAAGGTGTGGCTCTGTCCCAGGCCGCTGCCCCTGCCGCTCTGAACCCCCAGTTTTAAACAGTGTGGAGGAAAGAGCCCGTGAGAAAGGCGGTATTCAGGAAGACAACCTTGCCACAGGCACTTCAAGATATTGACATCCGAGGACAGCTTAACACCCAAGGGCTGCCTGGCGTTTGGAACTATTTCAGTGATTGGTGCGGGGAGAGTGCAGCCACCACGTGGGAAGCTGACTTTGAAGGTGGCCAGAGGGGGTCCCCCCTGCCCCTGGGGCCCCAGGTTTGCCTCAGAGGAGGAAGTGAATGGGCACCCAAGGGTTAACACTCTAGCTCGCATCTAGCTGGGCTGGCTCTTCTCCCCCTCCATTCTTCCTCCCACCCACCCGCCTTGGCCTCTGGGACAGCCACGAAGGCACCTCTCCTGCAGGCCCACAGACATCTCAGCCCCGCTGTCCATCCTCACCTGTCCCATCCTTCCCATCAACAGGGGCCCTGGAGGGACCTTGGCACGACCAGATCCTTAGACGGCTCCTGTCTAAAACCAGTCTACGTTTCCCTCCACCTTTACTTTCCTCATGGTCTCCCTCCAGCCCTTATCTTTGTCTGGTTGCCTACCAGCTCCCCCTCCACAATTTCCCCCCTCCTGACACTGTCTTCAGTCTCTCAGTTGGGCTCTTCCTCCCCTGTGGGTCTGCTCTTGCCCCTTCCTCTCAGCCCCACCTGCAATCCCTTCCATTCCCCTCCAAGTATTTGCTTCTCTCCCAGCCAGTTTCTCCTGCCATTCTCCTCTAGGGCTCCTCACAAGTAAACCCACTGGGAGAACACCTACTGTTCGTTAATAGTGCCACCCTGCACTTTCTAGGAGCTGCCCCACCTACTGCCCGCAGTCGGGGCCGGACATTCCCGGTGCAAGGCGGAGCAGCCCCTACCCTGCCGAGGGCTCTGCACCACGGAACCCTCCTTCCACCTTCCCCTTTCTCTGCCACCGCCGAGCCCAGGAGCTCCCCGGCTGAATGAACCAGATTTTGCAATAAAAAGATTCGGAGCTAGCCCCAGGCAGCTCTGGAGTCCGGTCCCCGCAAAACAGACTTGACTCAAGTCCCCCAACACCTCCTGCTTGCATGCTGGGACAAGTAGCGGCTTGCCCGGCTCTTTCCTTTTGCCAGCAGGTTCCTGGGCACAGACCCTGGAATTCTGTGAGCTGGATGACCTCTGAACTTCTCCAACGCAGAAGCGCCCACTCCCCAGCAGAGCCTGGAAGCATGTGTGTGGCCCATGGCGAGGGTGCCCACTGGGAGGGCGCCACACTCAGCGCGCAGCCACTGCGCGGGTCTCTTGGCGGTGTCGGCTCAGAGATGGGAGAAAGGCAGGGGCTGACACGGAGCCGGCACAGAGCCTCTGCCGGTGGCTGTGAACCCCTCTCTCCCGCCGGCGGGTGGCTCAGTGCGCGCGCCTCGGAGCAGTGGGGTGAGCAGCCTCCCCTTTCCGGAGAAGTACCGCAGCCCCAGGAACCGCTGCAAGGCGTCACGGGTCCCAGCCCGAGTGCGCCCGGGACGCCAGGCAGCCGGCACGCAAAGATGGGAAGGACCCCGGAGCCCGTGGTCGCGGCGGGGAGCGTCGGCGGCCGGCGCGCCAGGGCAGTAGGTTCCGAGGCGCCGCACCGCGCCGCCCGCTCCCGCCCCAGCCCTGCGGGCGCCCCGCCGCCCCGCGGCCGTCGCTTACCGTGGGAGGGCAGCGCCCGGCGGCGCCCCGCGCGATCATACGGGCAGCTGGGTCCCGGCCGGGCGCGTCGGCCGCCCTCGCTCGCTCGCTCGCTGGCCGCCGCAGAGCCCGCGCCCCGGCCGAGGGCCGCGCTGCAGTCCCGGGGGTGCGGAAAGCGGGCGGCGGCGCCGAGAGCACCCAGGCAACTTTCACTTTCCACCAGCCGGTCTCCACTGGCCAGCTCCTCGGCACAGCCTTTTAAGAGGACTTGTGGGGGCATGTGGTTTATGGGAAATCACCTTGGACAGGCGCCAGACACACACACACACACACACACACACACACACACGCACGCGCGCGCGCACGCGCGCGCGCGCACTGACACAGACACACACTCCAGAGCCCCACTGAACCGCCTCCCCTCTCCCGCCTCTCGGGCTGGTCTTCCCCGTGGTCCTCCCAGTCGCCCTGTTTTGTGCGCGACTCCAGAGTCTTCAGCAAAGTAACTCGGACTCCGCCGCCTCCCGCCCTTCCGCGCGCCCGCTGCGGACCGAGCCGAGCCTTTCCTTCCGCGCTCTCCAGGCAGATCCGGTGCTCTCTGTCTCTCTCTCTCTCTTTCTAATATTCGTCTCGAGGGACTTTCCCTCCAGGCCTGAAAATTCCCAAATCTGAGCAGGAAATGGGCTGAGAGCAGGGGCAAGCACTGGAGCCTGGGGCCTCCCCGGGCTGTGCACGCTGCAGCACCTTGTTGCGATGCAGTCCGCGGGTTTGCAGCAGCCCTCTTCTTCCTATGCAGCCCCCCAGCCTCGCGTCTCTCATTCTGGGGGCAGGGTACAGATAGGCAGGGAGGCTAGCTAGCTACCTGGCCAGGAGGGGAGGGACTGTGTCCTGTGGCACAGAGCTGGGAGGTTCTGCTCTGGGCCAGGAGACACTCCGGGCACTTGACCTGCCGGTGATTTAAATGCTGGCTGAGACCCATGCTCCTATCTGACTGCCAAAACCTGGGATGATTGGCACCTGGGCCCTAGATTTCTGATGATGCTTTTGGAAATGCATTTCCCGAGATGCTTAATCATGTTCTGCCCCTGCATGAGAACGAATCTAAACGAAGCCTCATAGGATGCGCCTATTAATTATCATGCCAACTTCAGGCTCTTTTTCTTTCTTCAATTCATTGTGATTCACTGTTGGAATCTTCTGGAAGGCCACCCATCCATGATATATGGCCTGGTCTCAAAGGGGCATCTTTTGTCGCTTGCCCCAGCCCCAAGCAGTAATTTTATACCCTCATCCCCTTGCTCCTACTGGTGTCTCTGCGTGGAGTGCTCTTCTCCCGCTTGTCTTTAAGGCAAAATCCTCATCCTTCAAGCCTGAGGTAGTACCACATCCTCCATCAGCAAAGCCTTCTTTGACTCCCCAGGCATATCGGTGGTTCCCATTTCTGTGTTCCCACCGGACTTGGTGCCTTCATGGTGGCCATGATAAGTTGTTATTCATTCATTCTCTGATGATTCTAAAAGTATTGAAGGGGGCACTGAGAGTTTTATTGTGCCCCAAGTCTCACCGAGACTTCCTGCAGGCTGGGCCCTTGTTCACTTACCTCAAAACAACAGTGTCTGACCCATAAGAGCTACCCCGTTAACGGTGATTGAGTCAAATGAGACCTTTAGAGAACAAGTCATTCATTGGACAAATGTAGCACCCTGTGGCTCCTATGTGCCAGGCACGGTGCTGGCCCCCCGGGGATACGGAGATGGACATACCAACATGCCCCTGCTTTCACGGGCTTAGGGGCAGTCATGTGGAGCAGTGCTGGGTCCTCAGAGCCTTGAGGAAGGAAGACAAGAGACAGAGCCCTGCCAAAGGAAGGAGGTTAAGGATTTACTTCCCCCAGGCCTGTTTTGTCAAGTGTCCCTGTACCAAAAATACACAAAACACAATAACACATTCACTCCATAGTGCTTGGGACTGATAAGAGGTTAGAGGAAGTATAAACCTCTTGACTCGTTGAAAGGAAGTAAAATTTCACCTGCTCCGTCCTGCATCACCCCAACTCTGCCTCAAGCTCACTGAGGCTGCCTTCAGAACCTAGCTCTGCCTCTGGAAGGCAGCCTTCCTCTCTGTTGGCACAAAGCTTGGGTCCTCATTCTCCCTCAGCTGAAATCGTTTGCACATCCAGGCTTGAACCCTGACTCTACCACTTAGACATTAATTTACCTTTCTTACGGGAATGGCGGGGATGGGATGGGATGGTGCCTAACCCTAACCCTGAAGGTAGTAAGGGCCATTGCTGTAGTTACTGTTATTATTATTGTTTATCTACTCACATGGGCCTTAAGCAATGACACAGCAGTGGCACAGAGGACCTGGGAGTCTCAGAGCCAGATTTGAGTCCCAGCCCTGCCACTCGTTTGCTGTGTAGCTTGAGACAAAGCCCTTAATTCTTCTGAGCCCTTCTTTCCTCGTTTGTGCAATGATCATAGTAAGCCCTTTCCCCAAGGAATGGTTGTGAGGTCAAATGGGCGACATATGGAGGTCTCTAGGGCAGCAGACAGCACAGAGCAAGTGCTTAGCTATGAAAGAACACTTTGGAATGGGGCTGTGGGATGCTGGGAAACTGTCTGCACGGAGCTGCAGAGGGATGAACAAGGCCCTGGATGACCATGACTCCACAGCGGGACCCTGCAGCTGTCTCATGTGTGTTACCTTAAAAGGAAAGGCTGTGAATCTGCTTGACTTCAGATGTGCTTTACCACCAGACACAGGGAAATCGAGGCTGGAAGCCCCTGTGGTGTGCCTGATGGGCTCACTATCTCCAGTGCTCTTTCCTGCACTGCGTGGATACTCCTGCCCCCTCTCCCTGCCTGTCTTGCTGGGAGACCTTGGCGGGCATGTCCTGGCTGCGTCTCAGGGCCAATCCAACAGCATGATGTCCATGTGCGCATAGCGTCCTAGCCGTTCACACCAATGAAGGCCCGTGTGTGGCCATCCACCGGCAGCGGGGCTTGGAACCACAGAACGAGGAGCGTTTCCGGCCCACATTGCCTCAGATGCGCAAATGAAGGCCCAGATGGGCAAAGCCACCTCCTCCAGAGTAATGCACGAATTGGTGCAGGCTGGGGTGGGGGCTTCAGGAGTGAGGCCTGACGCGAAAGAGCTCTGAGGCCCGTGTGCTGTCCCTGGTCAGATTTACTGCTGTTCTCCGCACTGGCTTCCGGTAGAGTCACGTCCGGAGCTGGGTCACTGGGGAGGCATGGAGGGATTTGGAACAATCCAAGATTTGGGTTTCAATGATTTCCTAATGCAGCATCATCAAGAAGGCAACACTCAGCTGACCCTGGAGGAGGGCAGAAGGGAGTACAGGAGGGACCCTGTTTGCCAGAGGAATGAACCAAGGGTGGGAGGAGAGCGATTGAAAAGGAAGAAATGGAGATGGACGGCAGGAAGTGGGAGGAAAGCCTCATTTGCTTGTTGTCGAAATGTCATTTCTTTGAAATTATTTGACAGGCAACATCCCCTTGAGACCTTTTCCAGGGAGTTGACTTTTATCACAAAGGGCTGGCTTGCTCGGTCTTTCTTCTTTCCCTCTCTTTCTCCCCCTCCCTCTCTCCTTCCCTTCCTCCTTCCTTCCTTCTTTCTTTTTCCTCCCTCTTTCTTTCTCCTTTTCTCTCTTTCTACCTTCCTTCCTTCCACTCTCCTTCCCTCCTTCTCTGTCTCTCTTTCTTCCATCAAAGTGGTCCCATGGTTCTTAGGAAGTGGACTGGAAGGTGGAGAGCAGCAGCCTGGGGAGCTTGGGGCTGTAGAGGGAACACTGTTTTCCTGCCCCATGCCTCCTGACAAGGTGTTGCTTAGGGCCAGAGTGTGTAAGGACACACTGGCTAGCCAGGTTAGGGATGCTAGATATCCCATCTCCCATCCTGCCCCACATAGGTCTTTTGCGCTGCAGGCTGACCGTTCAAACATATCTACCTTCTTTTTAAGAAAGTGGGGTGAGAGCGTGAAAGGTGGCAGAGCGGCCATAATGGATCGATCCTTGACTGGATTTCTCATCAATTAAATGGGAACGGTAGCTCCCAGCCAGCCAGCTTCTCAGGGCTGCTGTGAAGACCTTGTATTTGATAAACTAACAAGAGCCAACTTAGATACTGTGGAAAAATACCCAGGTGGATATTAAGGCCGCATCTTCTCCTGGCTGGGGGAGAGCCAGCTGTCTCCCTCGTCCCTGAAGCTGAGGAGACACCTGTGCTGGTTTCATGGCCATGCCACCAGGAGTCTCGCCCCTGGAGAGCAGGCACTGCCGGAAAGCTGTCTGTATCGGGCCCCCGCTCTGCCCTCTGCTTCCTGCATCTACCAGGCTGGGCACTATCTCCTGGATATGGGCAGGGGGAGCCCTCTCAGATTGCTATCATGAACTCCTCAGAGCTGATCAGTGTAACCTAGAAATAAGAAAGCGACTTGTCCATAGTGAGTTTTAGCTTCCCAAGTGTCCTCCCTACCCTCTAGCATCACAGCACTTTAACTGAGGAAACTTCTAGAATGAAATTTTGTTCTAACCTTCATTGGAAAAAGAGAATCACAAAGAGGATGCTGTATCGGCTCGTGTCCAAGCAGCAAACAGGCCCACTTCTTATCTGTGGTCCTGTGTGACTTCAGAGCAAATGAGGCAGAGCATTACCTGGAAACAGGAAGTAAAAACCTACGCCATCCGTATTCATCTATTAACGCCATAAGCACTTTCATTGTTGAGTGCTTGTTGCATGCTGGATCCTGTACTCATCCAGGCCAGCTGAATTACATGCCCTCTGCGCACAGACTGCCAGGGACAGTCCAGCACGAGCCAGGACGAGTGACAATGGGGAAAGGTCCAAGGTGCCCCAAGGGCCAGAGTGGCTTGGCTGCTGGAGGTCACCGAAGGGAGCCAGAGACCTGGAGAGAGAAGAGCCTGAGGATTGGAAGAGTTCAGGTCCCCGATACCCCTGGCCACAGACCCCTGTCTTCCACTTTGTGTTACTGAAGGCGATTCCTTGCGTTGGTTTGCGTGATGCGAACTGGGACATCTA